AAGTTGTTATTTTGGCAGAAGATGCTGAAATTAGAGAAAAAATAGCTCAACATGATATTCATGTACAAACAATTGCAGAAGTTGCACCAATTGAAGTGCAACCAGCAAAAGTTCTTAGTCATTTGTATACATATTTAGGTATTTTTAAAATATTTATCAACTTCATAAATTTATCATTTATTTTATAAATTTCAATTGTTTTTGTATTTACTTATAACGTTTTTTTTAGGTCGAAATAAAAAGTTAGGATTATCTGGGCGTAAATCAAGAGATGTAGGAATTTTGAGCACCAGTAAATTATATTCCTTGAATGATAAAATATTTGCATTCACTCCACAGGTAGGCATTTTGATATTTATCGAACTGTCATCTCTCTGTACTTTTATTTCTTTTCTTATGTTGCCTCTTGTTCTTGCATCAAACATTAGTTGACAGACATGACCCGCTTCTACATCGCATCGGACTATGAGCTCATGATTGACATATTCAAAGGCGAAATTAATTTCTTGAAGTCTAGCTGGCAGAACATGTTAGGCCGGCCTCTTGTGGTCATGCCCCTCAAGAACATTCATCTAGGTACAGTAATTTAATATTTAAAAACTATAGTTTTCATCTGTGTTACTTTCTCTTGTCTATTACATAAAAAATTGTAATGATAAAATTTCATGATTACAAAGCTTCAAAGTAACAGAGATAAAATGTATAGTTTTTAAATAAAGAAGTTTCCTTTCGGAGTTTTAAAGTTTCCTTACTGAAATTATGCAAATACATTATCCAAAGAACATCTAACATGTCTGCCTGCATGCGTGCATTTGTTTTTGTTATCAGTTTTGCTTTAATGGCTATGGAAGGTCTTAATGCAATTTGATTAGCTATTATTAATGTTTTGCTAATTATTAATTTTTATCGTATAATATTTAAGTGTTATTGTCTTCATCATGAGCAAAATCAATTAATGTTGAATATTTTAATGAAAATAAAATAGTTTAAAAAAAACAAAGAGGAATTGAGGAAAGGCCGTTTTCTCTTCAATATAAAATCTAACATTCTAAGAAGACAGCTTATGTGTGAGGTGGTGTGCGCGTTTGTTGCATGTCTTAGAACTTTGACGCGGAGGAGTACTACACGACAAATGATGCAGCCCTCCTTGCCAACACTTTTACAACCAACTTGGCCTTCCTCACCATCAACTGGAAGCAAATGCTCGGCAGGCCAACTATAACACTTGTTGCTACTCATAATCATCTAGGTATGCCACAGGCAGCTTTAGATCATCATTCAGGACAATTTATTTAAAATGTGTACTAAAAATAGGATAGAACTTTTTTAAAAATAATATGTTAGAAACAATATACAAAATTTGCACATTGCTTCTTTTATTTTTCGACAACAATAAAATCACAATATTATATATTATATATATTTTATATTATATATAAAACACATGATTATATTTCAGATCAAGGAAAAATACCATTAGCAATGATAACTACTATGAAAAAATTAAAAAGTGGTTATATTAATGGTACTCGAGTTTCATTAGGAAACTTAAATGATTTTTTGAGTACATCTTGTATTACAAATCTAAGCTTCTTAGGAAGTTCTGAAGATGGTAAACCAGATAAATTAAATCCTCAGGTAAATAATATTTTTATTAGAAATTAATATAATTTGATATTTTTTTTAAATTATACATATTTTAGGTTCAACAATATTTAGAAGAACATTTAATGCGTGCATTTCCACATCGTACAGGTCTTCTTAATAGACCTATAATTAGAAGTGGAAAAAATTTAAGACGCAAAATGTCAGTAAAAGGAGCTATAAAGAAAACAAGATCAATTGCTGTAGAACGTAAGTAATATTTATTTTCTATGTTATTATTACAAGTTACTTAATTTTTTTTAAACATTCTTATTGCATGCTACTTAAAGTGGATCTTTAAATATTTATACAATATGATCCTATGGTTCCTACCATCCTACAAGAATGTAAGTGTACTAACTCTTAATTTCCAAATTATAATAATAAAAGAGAAAATATTAGAATAAAAAATTAACATCTTTAAAAAAATTAAAAATTTTTAAACACATTAATACAAATTGAATTCAATGTAATAACTAAATAATTCGATAATTAGTAAAATAATTTTTGAAAAAAAAAAGTAATTATATAATTTGTAGCTGAAATTCTTGGGATGGCAGGAGAAGATAGAAGATCTTCTGCTGTTTTAAATACAAATCCATTTATTGAAGTGACAGATACAACATTAACTTCTAATCCTATGCAATCAACTTCTATGGATCGAATACCTTCTCCTACAAATGAATTATTATCATGGACAAATTCTCCTAAGTTACATAGGCATAGAGGTATAAATGAAACTCAATATGCAGATACAGAAGTTGAAGAATTGTTAACTATGCTTCGAGAAACAGAAAGTTTAGAAGAACAAGGAGATATTTTACAATATCTTGTAAGTATAATTTAAGTATAATTAAAAAAAATATTTTATTATATATAATAGATTATTAAAATTGCATAGAAATAATTAAGAATATAGAGAAATGTTTATTTAAAATCTGTATTTTAAAAATTTGTTACGAGATGTATTAAAAAAGTAATAATTAATAATGAAACAATGTATCTTTTTTATAACATATGATTAATTCTTCATATAATTATTTTTAATTCAATAATAAAAAATGCTTTTAATAATGATTGAATATATAATATTTTAAGTTTTTAATATAATAGTCTATATAATTTTTTTAAAAATAAATAATTAAAGAAAATATAAACAATAATAATAAAATATAACAATAACAGTATAATTAGAAAATTTTATTTTTAATTTTTTTATACTTTATTTAAATGAAATTATTAGCTTTATTTTAATTAACATTGAGAAATTATTTACAAAACTTTAAATATAAGCATAACATATATAAAGAAATTGTACTATGTTATTATTATGTTTTATTAAAGGATTAAAAATATTTTTAACTTTATTTAATAATAATTTTCAATTAAATATTTAGGTTGATTCTCAAGGTTTATATTTCAATACTGGCATGGTAGAAGAAGGTCATCCAGTTTTGATAAAAGATTTACTAAAAGATTTGTATGAAAAAGCATGTCAACAAAAAATGTGGGGTATTGTACGTCATACAGCTGGTATGTTAGGAAAACGGGTCGAAGATTTAGCTAAAGCAGTTACTGATTTATTAGTTCGTCAGAAACAAGTTACTGTTGGAATGCCACCAACTAACGAACATACTATTGTTGCTCCATTACCAGAAAATGAATTGCGAACTTTAATTCATCAAGCATATGGAGATGATGAATCTACTGCTATGTTGACACAGGAATTACTTGTGTATTTAGCGATGTTCATTAGAACTGAACCACAATTGTTTCATGAAATGCTTAGACTTAGAGTAGGTTTAATTATTCAAGTAATGGCTACTGAATTATCAAGAACTCTAATATGTACTGGAGAAGAAGCATCTGAACATTTGCTTAATTTATCGCCTTTCGAAATGAAAAATCTTTTACATCATATTATGAGTGGAAAAGAATTTGTTATTAGTAGTGGTATGCTTATCATATTTTTTATTATTATATTGTTAATTTATTTAATAAAATAAAATAAGAATATTATATATTTTCATTTTTAGTTGGTCGAGGAAATTTTTCTGTTATCAGTTGCAAATCTAGTAAAGTCAGTAAGGTAATAAAATTATTGATATGACAATTATTAGTTTTAATACAATTATATTATAATTTTAATATTTTTTTTTTATTTCAGAAATCACAAATTGGGGGTTTCTTAAGTCCTGATCAAACTGATGGTAACGAAATAGAACCAGATCGACAAGGTCAATGGTTACGACGAAGAAGATTAGATGGTGCATTAAACAGAGTACCAAGAGATTTTTATCCTCGAGTATGGCAAGTACTCGAACGAGTAAGTATACTTATTATATCTTAAATTATAATGAATAAAATTTTTCTCAAAATTTAAAAAGCAAGTAAGATAACATATATAATCCTATTCGTTATTGCTATATGTATATTTATAAATATATATATATATAAAATCACTTAATAATTAATTAAATCAAGATATTTAACATAAAAAACTGTTTTTATATGTAAATTTTATGTAATTTTAAAGTTTTGTTAAAATTTAAAGCAGTTTATATTTAAAATTTTTCATTAAAAATTTCAATTTTTACAGTGCCAAGGTTTAGCAATTGAAGGTAGAATTCTACCTCAAAATCTTACACAGGAAATGACACCAGGAGAATTAAAATTTGCATTAGCAGTAGAAACTGTGTTAAATACTATACCACAACCAGAATATCGTCAACTAATAGTCGAAGCTTTAATGGTATTAACTTTAATAACTGAATATAATGTAGTAACTTCCCTGGGTGGACTTATTGCTGTTGAACAATTAGTTCATAAGGCTAATGCTATATTTTTAGATGATCAGGTATAATTTTGATATTTAATATAATAATAGTTATGAAGTAAGATATACATATATGTTGAATCTATTTTAAATAATTAGATGAAGATCGATGGCGATGCTACTTTATGTTGTGCCAAACCAAAAGAACAACGTGAAACAACTGCAATGGGAAATCTACTTTGTGGTGGAGCAGCATATGTTTGTCAACATTTTTATGATAGTGCTCCAAGTGGTAGTTTTGGAACAATGACATATATTACAAGAGCAATAGCTTCATTATTAAATTGTTTACCAAAAGATAGTGATTTAGAATGTTCAATATCATAATTGTTTATTTTTTAAGAATAAATAATAAATTTTTAGTTGATTATATCTATATCTTATAATTTATATTTATGTTAATTATTTAGAATTTGTTTGTGAAATATAAGAATTTAATTAAAAAAAAAATTGTTCAATTTTTATAATAAAATTACCAGCACTTTTAATGCAAGAAACATGAACTAATTTTTACTAATTATTCTATAATTAAATTCTCTCATTTTATTTAATTATATTATACAATGTAATGTATATATTATTCCGATTTTGAACTCGCAAAAGGATTCCAGTTTAATTTCCATGTTGAAGATCTATAAAAATAACTTTCCATTAATAAAATAAAATAAAGAATTTTATATAATTTTTTTCGTTTTTCCTTAAATATAAAATTAAATAAAATATAATTTATTAAACATACTTTTCTAAAGTTTTTTTTGCTTTTTCAGCTTCTTCTTCCTTAAGTTTAGCAATTAACTCAGATCTAAATTGAAGTTTTAAAGGTTGTACTTTCTTTATTTGTTCTTTCTGTTTTATCCATTTTTTACAAGCTTCTTTAAATGTTAAACCATACCATTCAATTTCTTCTCGTGTATACTACAAATATATATATATTCATTAAATATATTAAATAACATTATTAAAAATTAATTATTAATTAATTAAAATAACAATATTAATTATTTAAATGTTAATTACTGGTGTTAAATATTCTTTATATTTAGTATAAATTTCCTCTCTTTTAACAGTATCATTTGGATATAAAGTTTTATCGGCCAATGACAAAAGTATTTGACGTTTTATTTTTAGTGCTAGTTCAGATTTTAAATCACAGGCAGGAGTCTATAAATGATCAAAAGTATTAAATAAAATATATTTGAAATATATAAATATTCTTTGCAAGTAAATATACCTTTAATAAATAATGATCAAAACCATAATGTTCATTAATTAAATCAATAGTTCTATTGGTGATAACAACACTCAAATATGTGTCTAATACTTCACTATAAACCACAGATTTCTTAAGTGTAGGAAACCAAAAATGAGGGTGTCTGCGAGCATATTTATTTTTTTTTGTAAAACCTTGTATTACAGCTTCACCACCCCATATACCTTGATGAAATTCTTTAGGATATAATAATGGTAATGGTACATTTTGAACTGGATATCTAAAAATTAAAATTTATTTAATAATACTAAGTTCATAATAATAATAATAAAGATATTAAATATTATTAATATAAAAAAATTATTATTGATATATAATATATTTACATATATATTTACATATAATATTTCAACAATTCAATATTTAAGAAAATCAATTTTAATCAATATTAAAAAAAAAGATTTAAGAAATTTATTATTATTATACTAATAAATTATTAGTTATTTACACTTCTTCTGTTTCTTCATTTCTTACATATTTGCCCTCTTGCTTTATATAATGCACAGCAGTCGGTATTTGTATTTTCCATTCTCTCCAAAACTTTTTATATTCTTGTGGTAATTCTGCACCAATTCCTTTTGACCATCGAGTTGGTTTTGGTATATAATATAAACGCTAAAATTTTCACAACACTTTCTTATGTATGATTCATAAAAAACTTATATATATAATTATTAGCATTATAAAATATTTTGGAATTATTAAAATAATTTTAAAATAATATTTTTTTTTATAAATATAATAAATATATGATATTTATTTGAGGTTAATTTTAAACAGAAAATTATTAATTATTTTTTAATACAATATTCAAATATTACCTTAGCCAGTTCTTTCATTGACATATTTTACGATTTAATAAGTTCTTTAATAAAATAGAATAATTATTATATTTAATTTAAAAATGTTACATTAAACATAGATGAAGTATAAATTATACATATGTATATGTATATTTGCTGCAATTTTTAATTGTTACTTTCACGGAATAGTTATATTTGTATTTTGAAGTGTGGTATAAACTAAGTTTATCATACAATATATTTTTTATCTCATGACTCGAAAACTCATAACTTTTCTTGTTATTTTAATGTCAATTCCAAACAATACAATTTAAAATAAGATTAAAATTAGTAATAGGTTAAAATAAAATTTTAATTATAAATATAATTTTAAATATAAACAAATAAATTTGAATGTCATAAATAAATATTTCATAAAAATATTTGTGGGAAGCTTTTCTTTTTAATGCTTACATTAAGATTGTATTATTTTGTATTCCAATGATCTGGTAATAATGATCAGTGATGACAGATCTATGTTAAACATGGTTTATATTTCGAGTCGTTTATATTTTGAACAATAAAAAATAACAATAAAAAAAAAAGAAGAAATATATAATTATTTATAATTATAAGTTAAGTTAACAGAACAAATTTTATACTTAAAAGAATATAAAAATATATAGTTGAAAATTCTTAATAAATAATATTATTTTGTATCTTATATAATGAATATCTTGTACTAATTATTCTTTAAAGATTATACATAATTTAATTAATAAAATGAGCACAAAAATGGGAAAGAAAGAAATTATACAAGCTGTAGTACTTGCAGATGATTTTTTAACAAATTTAACACCAGTACAAAATATATTTCCAAGAATATTGATGCCCATAATAGATATTCCACTTTTAGATTATTTAGTGGAAACTCTTATTAAATCTAGAGTGCAAGAATTATTTCTTTATTGCAGTAAATATGTGGATTTAATAAAAAAATATATCAAATATAAAAATTGGTCAAAAATATCAATTTCTTTAATTGTATCAGATGTTTGTACTTCTCTTGGAGATGCTCTTAGAGACATTGATACAAAAGGTTCAATACGTAGTAATTTTATACTTATAAGAGGAGATGCATTTATTAATGCTAATCTTACAAATCTCTTAATAAATCATTGTACAAAACTAAAAGAAGATAAAGGTGCAACAATGACTATGGTGCTAAGAAATATTGGTTGTATAAATCAATCCTTTTTAAAGCAGGAAACATGTTTAATAGTTTCTGATAAAAATAGTAAAAAAATTCTACATTATAATAAACTAAGAAATGATGAAAAAAAAGTGAAACTAGAATTAAATTGGTTTTTGAATCATAGTGAAATTGAAATTAACACTTGTTTTTTGGATACTCATGTTTATTTATGTTCTCCATCTGTACTTCCATTATTTTCTGATAATTTTGATTTTCAAGTAAGTAATATATAATATAATTTAAAATATATAAAAAAAATTAATATATATATATATATCATAATAATAATAAATTTTTTTAAAATGTATTTATGATATAATATTAAATATTTGTTTAAACTTTTATAAATATAATTAAAAAGAAACATTATAGAATAATAAATAATAATTCTTATATTTTTTGACAGACAATGGAAGATTTCATTCGAGGAGTATTGATAAATGAAGAAATTTTGAACTCTCGAATTTATTGGCAACAATTAAATCCTAAAGACTATAGTTTGCCAATTGTATCATGGAATGCATATCATACTCTGAACAGAGATATTTTGAACAGACATAGTTTTCCACTTACACCAAATGCTATTCCATTTTTAAAAGATTTTATTTATATGCCAAGATGCACATATAAACATAGAAGTGCAACTCTTGCTAAAGGTTGTATATTAGAAAAAGATAGCATATTATGCCAAAATAGTATACTTGGAAATGATACTTTTGTTACAAGATCAATTATTGGAAATAATTGTTTAGTAGGCTCTAATGTAACAATTAAGAATTCTTATATTTTATTAAATAATAAAATTGAAGATAATTGTTGTATTACAAACAGCATAGTATTTTCAGATTGTATTATTAAACAAAGTGCACAAATAAATGGATGTATAATATGCCCTAAAACAATTATTGATACTCAAATAGAATATATTGATTCTATTATAGAATCAAAGAATAATAAAATTTCTATAAAAAAAATATCAGAAATTAATAAAGATAATGAATTTCAATTTTTCAAGAATTATGATACAATAGAATATGATAATTATTCTACAGATACATCAAGTATTGATGAAGCTTCTGAATGTAATTCACCAATTCCAGATGATACAAATATGTTCTTATCTGAAGTTATTGATAGTTTACTACGAGGTTTTCAAGATAAACTTAACTGTGATAATTTAATTTTAGAAATAAATTCATCAAGATATGCATACAATATTACCATGAGCGAAGTAACATATAATGTTATTAAAGCCATATTAAGTTTGCCTTTTCATTATCTATCAGAGAAGAAAGAAGCTACAACTAATCAAAATTATCAAAGAAATTTAAAAATTATGGTAACATATTTTTATCCGATTATCTCAAATTATATTAAAACAGAAGATGCACAAGATGATTGTTTACATGCAATAGAGGAGATAGCAAGTACAACTCAAGAATTATTACCATTTTTACAACATTTGTTGCATATGCTTTATGATAAAGATATATTATCAGAAGAAAAAATTTTAGAATGGTATGAATCTGATGAAAAAGGCATTGATTCTTTTGAATTTCAAAAAAATAAAGTGAGAACTGCAATAAAACCATTTATTAAATGGTTGGAAGAAGCTGAAGAAGATTCTAGTGAAACTGAAAATGATTAAATATATATTACATTTATAATTTAGAAAATACTTAGTCAATAATTTAGAAAAAACTTTTCAAACATCTTTATAATAATAAATGAAATCTCTTTAATTCTCCTATTATATTTCCTATATATGTATATTATATATATTATTTTCTATTATATTTCTCTTAAAAATATTAATAATATTAAATCAAATATAAGATGTAAAATAAGAACATTTTCTATATATAATATAATATTTTATTTTTGTGTTTTTATTTTTTTTTTGGAATAATACATTTTGAGCAATATTATTGATCATATGTAAATAAATTATATTTTGCAGAATACTATGCATATCGAATATACTGATTCTATTAAAACATTTTGAATTATATACTATATAATAAAAATAGAAATATAAATTATTCTATAGGCAAAATAGTATCAATTAAATTATGCCAAGCTTGATGACGATGATCTGGAAATTTGATTACATCTATCCAATGTCGTAATCGTGCTCCTTTACTATTACGACTTAGTTCAAGTCCACCTAAATAAAAATATGAAAAATATTACTGTACTAAATATATATATAGAATAGGGCATATAACTATCTTGATTATCTTGTAAATAATAATTTTAATGAAAAATAAGAGTTGAATGATTTTGAAGGTTATGTAATTTAATATAAATAGTTTTTTTTATAATTGAAAGCACAAATAAAGATCGAATATGTTTCCTTAAATTATATATTTTTTATTATATTAATCGATCCATTGATAATTTTTTTATAAAAAGTCGAAATTACTTAACTCTTATTAAAATCATTTACAAAATGATCAAAGTTGTTACATGCCATACTTTGTATAAATTTTTTCTTTTCAATATAATTATTAAATTAAAAAAAAAATACGTAGTGCATTACCAAGATAATCATTATTCTTGCCAAAATCCTTATCCCATACTGTGAGATATAATGTTAATTTCATAAGGTCTGTCAATCGAGCAGTAAAAGTGAATTCTTCATTCCATTCTGGATTTAATGTTTTCCATTTAATTGTTGTATTTTGCACATTACGACTTGTGATTTTTTTTGGTATTAGTTTTTTACCGGTAATACGAGCAATTGAATAATCGAAAATACGTTGACGATGATTGTTTGTCACGTTTTCTATAAGGCACAACTTGACAAATGGATCAGAAAATCCATTACTATCCATAGGAAGAAGATTTATAGCTCGATGAATTGTAACTATCAATGCTCGCCGCCTTGTGCAGTAACTTAGACTCACTTGAATCTGTCCTCGTCCACTGGAAAATACGCCCCAAGCTGCTTCTTCGTTGTCCACCTATGCCAACGTCGAGCTCTTATATCTTAGTGTCTGCAATAACGTAAGTAAAGTCGACCGTCGCGAAAAATTTAAAACGCGAAAAATGATTACGTTTATGAAGATCATTAATTAAAAATCGATAGAATTTTATGTATAAAGAAAAATAATTAACAAAATATATCAATTCGAAGCAGAAAATTTAGAATATACTATATTAAATATTAAAGAATATTAAAAAATTCGTTTCTTTTTGGTTTTTGAAAAAAAGAACTCGTCAAATATAAACTTCGTAATAATCTTTTATAGTAAAATTATAACAAATTTATTTTTAAAGATTAACATTTTGTTAAATATTTTATTATAATTTAATTATTGTTTAATTATATTTGAATTAATATTAATAATATATTATATATTCAATATATTACAAAATGAAATGTTATAAAATATTTAATAAGAAAATAAATTAATTTATATCATCATTTGATCAAAAACAACTTTTACAATACCATGGAGACAAATATTATTTTTTTTATACATACTGGATAGTGATCCTGTAATGGAACATTATAATGTTTTATTTGATGCGGTTGTAATTCATGCAGAGGAAATCTTGCTTCTCCTAGAAAATCTTGACCCGCTGGATCGTCCTGAAGAATCAAGATGTGCAATGCTTTGCCATTCCATATCTATTATGAAATATTAATTTATTTTTTTTTTTCGTTTATTTTCGTAATATTTTCCATATTATTTAATTATCTGAAGAATTTGCACTTTTCATACATCAGTTTCCGTTGTACCATAAAAGTTGAGAGTCTCATTAAATTCTGGATCCCGCGTTTTGTGGATTGTCTTTGTTCGAAGTCGTTTTGTAATTGCAATTGAATTTACTGGTAATATATTGAGCTTGCAAAATGGATCAGCGAGGTCATAAATATCCATTGGTTGTAAACCTCGTGCTCGTTCTATTTTGCATTGGAGGCACT